ATATAGAATGTATATAAAAAAAAAAAAATTGAGGAGCGTTGTTAGTATTTATAAATTTTTTCTTTCTGTCTTTCTCTTTTTCTTTCTTTTTGTGTATGTGTGTGCTTGTGTGTGAGTGTCTTTCAGTTTTTGCATGCCTGCTTGCGCCTATGCACGTCTGATTTATTTTATCTTGTCTTATGAATCATAGCACAGTATAAAGCTTCTTTTTCCTTTTTTCTTTCTTTTTTTTTCTTACTTTTTTGTATATTTACTTGATTCATTTCTTTTAACTTGAATTTTTCCTATAAGTATAGAAATATCATTCCTGCAATTGACCTGACCATTTCATTTATTTATGTATTTGATTAGTTTTGTGTTATTTATTGTTTATTGGTATCTGTATATGGTATATTTTATTTCTTACAAATCTCTTTATTGCATTTTTGCCTGTTACATTCTTCTTACTCTTAATCTTGTTTTCTGTACTTTGTCTTGAAAGATCCTTACCCATATCTACCATTCACCACCCTTAGAGGAGTGCCATGTGTCTGTTTCTTTTTATATTATCCTCTCACCTGAATATTTGGTGTATGTGTTCTGATTATACTGTATCCTTGTTAGTACTCTTTGTCTTCTTTGTGTATTCTTGCAAATCATACATTTCTCATTTGGATATCTTGCTTCTCTGTTCCTATGATTACTTCTATCCTCACTGTGTACTATATTAAGTGAAACATGTCTAAACCTCGCTACTTTGTTCCCCCTTAGCTAAACATCCACGTGGGCAACATCTCGCTCAACGACCAATTCGAGTGGGACATGGCCGAGCCAGAAAACTCCCCCGAAGAGTTTGCGACGCGCCTCTGCTCTGAGTTGGGTCTTGGGGGGGAGTTCGTGACCGCCATTGCCTACTCCGTCCGCGGACAACTCTTTTGGCACCAGCGCACCTATGCCTTCAGGTTGGTTGTTTACAGGAGCTTTTGTAAGGTTTTGAGGGTATTATGAGATATCATGAAAGTGTTTGAGTTAAAGATATAGATTCAGAAGTTATTTCAGAGCTATTGTATTTTCTAGAACTTAGCTGGAGATTTTTTTTTTTTTTTTCTAACACATACACATACTTTGTGATTAGAATTTCTTCCTCAAAATAAAACCTTTCTCTGCAGTGAGGCCCCATTGCCAGTGGTGGAAGTCCCCTTCCGATCCCAGAGCGAGGCTGAACAATGGTCCCCATTCCTCGAGACACTCACTGATGCAGAGATGGAGAAGAAGATCAGGGACCAGGACAGAAACACCAGGTTTGTTTGCAATGGGAGGGGTATTAGTGTGTTACTCGTATGTGGTATTCATTTATTGTAATGAGGACTTTCTGTGTTGTGGGAGGGGTGTTCTCTCTCTCTCTCTCTCTCTCTCTCTCTCTCTCTCTCTCTCTCTCTCTCTCTCTCTCTCTCTCTCTTTCTTTCTTTCTCTCTATGATGATGGCATGATGTTGTGTCCCCTGCATAAAGCATACCTATGTTGAGACAGATGCTTAGTGAGACAGGCGCCTGTCTTGCCAAAGTATTGTTTATCACAGGAGCAACATAGGCGCCCACCTTCGAGGTAGAGGGAGGACTGGTGTGAACCAGGTTGTGATGGAGAGTGTTCACCTGGCAAAAGATCAGCCTGCAGTTGAAAGCTGAGAGGGCAATGGGGAGAGTAGATCTCCTCAGTGTAGAGCAAGCTGAGGATAGACAGATGAGTATTCTCTTCAGGAGAGGAGTCGTGGTAGCCCATTTTAGAGAACGAACAATGCAGGAAGTTGATCTATCCATCCATGTACTGGGGGTCACAGATGCGGAGGGCACAGTGGAACTGCAAGGTGGCAACACCTCTCTTTTCATGGAGAGGATGGTATGAGAAGAAGTGCATGTACATACCATTATTCATAGGCTTCCTGACCAGCGACCCCTGTGAAGGCATTGCTGCTATCTTCCACCATCGCCTGAAAGAGATAGCATCCTGTTTTCCGCACCCTCCACATCTCTGACCCCCAGTACCTGGATCGAGAGATCATCTTCCTACATCATTCAATCTCGAAGATCGGCTACCCATGTTCTCGACGTCGCCTTATCCAGGGCATGGCATACCTTCTACCACAAATTCTCTCCTAAAGAGACTCCTCACCTGCTCATCCACAGCCTGCCCTACACTGTGGAGATCTACTCTCTCCGTCACTCTCTTCACCCTCTCAACTGCATGCTGATCTTTCGCCAGGTGAACACTCTTCGTCGCAACCTGGTTCACACCAGTCCTCCCTCTACCTCGAAGGTGGGCACCTATGTTGTTCCTCCTGTGATAAGCAATACTTTGGTGAGACAGGTGCCATTCTCACTAAGTGTCTGCCTCAACATGAATATGCTATATCCAAGAGACAGAGGCCATTAGATGGATGGACTGGTCACCTACTGGCCACCCTGCGCATAGTCCGCCCAATTCTCCGACTTGACCTGACCTCACTTCACTTACTCACCTGTCCTTTCCTGCCCCATGTTACTGCATTGCCAGTCTTCTCTCTTTTGTACCCCCTCCTCTCATTTTCATTAAATCACTTTTTTGTCTTGTGGGCTTTTCTACCACAGTATCAACATGGAGGAGTGTTTTACCATTCATGTATATGTATATGTATATGAGAGAGCGAGAAAGAATGTGCGTGCGTGCGTGCGTGTGTGTGTGTGTGCGTGCATGTGTGTGTGTGTGTGTGTATATATATATAAAATGTATTTATAGATATATATGAGTTTATTCATATATATAGAGGTTGTGTTTTTCATTGGATATAACTTTCCTTTCTCATCATTTTTCTTTGTCCATTGCAGGAGAATGCGACGATTGGCAAACACAACCCCAGTGTGGTAGTTCTTTTCTTTGTGAATTACTGGTATTTTAGAGAAAAAAAAGTATGTATTTCTTTGTGTAAGAATTAATTAAAGACAAGAAATAAACAGTCCCCAAGAAGTGTATGGCGATGGACAGTAGTGATATCGACTCCACCAAGAGGGATTTGCAGGATAGGGTGACGCTGGAGATGTCCGCTTGCATACTAGCGTGCACAAAAACATAAGCTGGAGATATGACCAACTTCTGATTTTTTTTTTACGTTGATTATTGATTTTTTTTTTTTCTCTGTGTTTTTTTGAAAAAGTACATTTTTCTTCATTTGATTATTCTCAGGTAATAAGTATGATACTGAGTATAGGGAAAAGAATAGATATATGTATACAATAGTTAGAGAGTGAAAGAAAGAAAGAAATTTGTAATTTGAGCCATTTTTATTTATTTTAGACATAAACTAAAAATCTTGATTCAAGAAATTATTAAAATTTCATATCTTCAGCTTTATGATGATTTCAAATAGCTTTTATTTTGCAAAAGAAGATGAAATTTAAACATCAATGTATATTTTTATTTTTCATTAAAAAATTTCATTATCATCAGCTACCTGTAATTTTCACATATTTATCATTTTGAAAACCTATTTTCTCTTCCATTTTGTGTGTAAGTGAACTATAAATGTAAGTTTTTTCATTAAAATCTTGAGAAAGAATTGTATTTTTCATTTCACCATATTTTATATTGATTGGAGTTTAACCCATTGCTGCCGGGGAAAATGAACAAAAAATGGGAAAAAGACTGTGCCTATTTTCTAAATTTTTTTGAGAAATGTTTGCTCATAGATGGCTCTGTTAGTGCCTGATTTGAAATGGCGGGAAAAACTTGTTTTTCACTAGTGCCATAAATATCGATGGTGTTATTTTTATTATAAACATTACAATTCTTATAATGTTTTTATAACATTAGTAACAGCAATATAAGATAACGTAAAATATTTTGTAAATCAAAGAAAAGGGTGAACGGGCGAGACAGGCGGTACTCGTAACTGGCTCATTGGTGATTTAGTACAAGTGTAGCCATCTATGTCTTAAAAACAATCCAACAAGTAATCTCACAGTGGGCATGGCATGGCATGCCCATTGGCAATGAGTTAAAAACCTAAAGAGATTTGATTTTGATGTTAATACTAAGGTCCTTATCATTAGATAGAAAAATGGCCATGAATTTTTTACTTGACTATTTTACACAGCCATGTATGTTCAGATACGATATTTAGCATTAGATGGAAAAAGATGCTCAAGAATTTTCCTTTTACATGACTTTTCACACAGACATGAGTTGTTAACTAGTCCTAGTATTAACATGATAAAGCAAAAAAAAAATTACATTAGTGTGCTTGCCAAATATCAATCTTAACCCATTCGCGCCGGGTAAAAATGAACAAAAAATGGGGGAAATGCTGTGCTCAGTTTTTATATTTTATAATGAAATTTCTCTACACTAGATGGCTCTGTTTTACTTGATTTCATTTGGCGGGAAAATGTATTTTTACTAGTGCTATGAATATCGTTTTTTTTTTATTATAAACATTATAATTACTATAATGTTATAAACATTAGTAACAGCAAAATAAGATAACGCAAAATAATTTCGTAAATTAAAGAAAAGGGTAAACAGACGAGACAGGCAGTACAAGTGCAAGTGGAGCCATCTATGTTTGTAAACAATCAAACAAGTAAACTCACAGTGGGCCCGTCACGTATACGTGACGCCCGGCGCAAATGGGTTAAGCAGGGAGTCCATATTGATTTTTTTTGTTTTTCTTATTTGTTTAATATTACATTTGTATCATAAAGGAAATATTTATCGTCACTACCTGCTGTATGTGCATCCTGACAGTTGGATGGAATGAGAATTATTGATTTTCCTGCAAAATGACATACAATAATCTATTTGTTCATTTTTATGTAGACACATGGATATATATTCTGTAAATACCATATTGATATCAAACATTTTTCACTGTTTGCTGTTTTATATGCATACATAAATATATACACAATCTTACATTATCCAGTTTTCTGTATATTTCTTTTAGATTCTGTAATGTTGATATTTAAAGATTGCAACTGCCTTTCTTTCTATTTTTTTTTTCTTTTTTGGTAATTTATTATTACTATAACTGGGAAAATGAATGATTCCTTTCCTGAGCACTGTTAAATGTTTTTTACAGGCAATACTTTTCAATTAAATACCTTATTCTAAAATGCTTCTTAGGTATGAATTGATGATCTCTTTTACATATATGTAATGAGTGGAAGTCAGAAAAAATGCATGTAGTTATACTCTGTACAGCAGGAATTTAGGATTAAGACAGGTACCTGCATTTAATCATAATGCCAAACAAATAATACCACTACTGCAAAAAAAAAATGAGCTCCTTTTGATGAGCCAGTGACACAGACCCTGTCATGATGCATTGCCACAACTTGATCCAGTAAAACCATTCCATATATGATGCCATCCAGAGCAAAAGGCTTGAAATACTTACCTACCCTTCACCTATATTATCCAAAGTTTTGGCAAAGAACAACCTAAAATGGTTACTGAGACTATTGATAATATTTTTAAATGCAGAGTAATAAAAAACATCCTTGAACTTTCCCATGTGCATTATATATGTGGAAAAGGTTGGTGATTACAATTACTTTTCCACAAGTGCAGCTTTCTTCCCAAAAGCCTGATGTGAAGTGCGTTTATTCAGCTTATTTCAAGTGTGATTTTGAATTTTTCACATAACTATGATTGGAAATTACAGAAATAAATAAAGTTTTTGAAATTTCATATTCTAATTTGTTTGAAGTGTCAGAGCATGTCAAGGAAGAAATAATTATCCATAGTCTATTACACCATCAGATCTAAACTAAAAAGAAATTTGATAAAATTAGGGAAAACACTGTCAATCAGCAAAACCTCTTTTGTCCCATAGTTAATTACAATATTAAGGTGCTGAAGACTCAGCATACAAATTATTAATTCTTTATGATGAATGCTTTGATTCCTTGGTGGTTGCAAATGATTAACTCATACAAGCCACATGACATCTAATTACATCATGGTCATCTGGGCTTAAATGCTGGGTGGGAAGTATCCATCCCATGCACAATCAAACCTGCTCTGAGTTTGTGTGATAACAATTGTTTCTTTATTTGGCCCTGATTGCAGTCATTCAGGAGATAGAACTCCTCAAAAGTAGGTTGTTGCTAAAAGTGTACCAAGTGGGTAAATGCATGTTTCCTGTGGTTCAAATTTTTCACTCTGGTGGCTGCCTGCATCCAGTGCCATGCACATGGTTCCCACAGTGACTTTTTTTTTGTTTCTCTTTTTCTTTCTTTCTTGATACATTTATTATGAAAATCTCATGAGATAGAACTCAAAAGTAGGCTGTTGCTAAAATTGTACAAAATGGGTAAATGCATATTTCCTATGCTTCAAATCTTTTACTCTGGTGGCTGCCTACATCCAATGCCAAGCACATGGCTCCATATGGCATTTTTTTCTTTTTCTTTTTCTTTCTTTCTTGATAAGTTTATTATGAAAATCTTCTAACCCATCTATGAGTTATTTGACATTTCAATGATTACGTTCTTCCTTCAAGACCATTACAAAGGCTATTTTGTAATGCATACCTACATACTATTAAATTTAATTTAACTCATAAGAACCATACAGTTTTCTGAGTTGGTGATTTAGAAGACCACATAAGGTTTTTGTTTTTCATTTTCTTCAATACTCATTTCTTTCGTCATCATTGGTTTTGTATTAGAATTTCATATAATTCATTATTCTCATTTTCTCATTCATATTACACAGAATATTGCAGTTGATGTGGGAACATTTTTAGAAGGTTGACCAATTCCAAAAGATCAAAAATAGTAACTTATCCTTTATTCGTTGTCGATTATAAAGTATAGTGAATATGGGAGCATTCCTACTAATAACAAATAACAAACTACAAAAAAAGGTTTTAACAAAAATAAACAAGTTCTTCTGAAGAGACTAGAATAAACACCTTCGACCCAAGAGAATTAATACACGAAAAATGCATATTTTTTTTCTTTAGTGATAAATTAAAAAGAGAAAGAGAGCAATAGAGAATTTCACTTCTTCTATATAGTAGAATAAAATAAGACAAATCAACAAAAGAAATCAACAAGAATGGGGTTTCTAAATAACAAAATGAAACAAAAAAAAAGAATACTAAAGGTACAAGCATTAGGAAACATTCTTCTTTTCTAAACATTAATAGTCGACTCACTACTATCACTAATTTCTAATGATAGAAAGTTACATCATTTGATCTAAAGACATGAGGATTTCATTAATTTTTCTCCATTCAAAAAAAAAAAAAGGAAAAAAAAAATTCTTATAGATTACAAAAGGCACATTTTTGTATAATCTTATCAAATTGTGTTCACACGAGAACCAATGCATCTACTTTGTATTTTGCAAAAACTTTAAATACCTCCATGAATATGAAAAATATGTATATATAAATATATGATTTTCATATCCATAGCAACTAAAAATCTATAGATGTTATTAACATCTTTTTGTAGACAATAATAAAAAGGAAACTCATTACACTGTATAACTTCTACAGACAAAACTCATTCTAGTGGCGAATACGCTTCTAAAAACATCACGTTTGTCACCATTAAAACAAATGTATCAAATATCCTTAAGCTAAAAACCCAATGCGTCAATAAATATTATCAACCAAAATGCTGGAAGTTTGCAAAAGCATTCATTATTGGGTTTCAGTACATGTTATACTAATTTTGTAACAAAAAAATATCTTATTTACCATACACAAACAGCCCTTTATTTACCATACATAATCAGCCATTGCCAATATCGTATTAGCTTCAACAGATCCACCAAACAGAAAAAAGGACATGATATAAATATATATATTTTATATAAATCCCTCATAAATAGCTATGAAATACTGAGTATGTGACTAGGCTCTGAATTGGATCCCTGAACCTTTTCATTGCCCGGACACAAGAGATTCAAGGGGAAAACCAGCCAATGACGATCAGTTATGGCTGTTTATTTTTGTGGTGAATATGCAGAAGGTAATTTTCTAAGGGCTTACAATTCAAAGAATTTCAAATTGTTTTATTTTATACTCAGATTCTCAACCTGTGGTATATATTGACTATAGTGGTGTGTTACAAATCTGGCTTGATAATGTAGCTTAATTTTAGATCATTTGTGTACATAATTCAATAAAAAAAAAAGGCAAGTTCTGTTACAATACATATCTAACATCAACAGATCAGTAAAAAAAACAAATTTGCATTTGACATCAAGCCAAATGACACAAAAAGACAGAGACAAAGAAACATATATCAAAAAGACAACTTCACATGATAAACCTTAAGTGTATACATATATATCTGTTTACAAAAAAACACATAGTAATAATAACACATCATAAAATTCCTTCCACTGTTATTTAATATACAAACGTCACAACCATTCTTCTAAGAGGTGCTGTTGTTTCCATTGTCATCTTCCTCAGTGGTGGACATTGTTCTGACCAGGGTCCAGCGCAGTTCCCTCTTGGCCAAGGCTGCCGCATCCTCCAGGTCACTCGCCTGCAGGAAATGGGGGGTGTCATTAGGGGATATGAGAAATGTCACTGAGGTAGATAATGATATAGACTGTATAAAAATATATGAGCTGTAACTATAAGCTTGAATTTGGTCCTGTAGGCTTATGTCAACAACATAAATAATAATAAAAAGCAAAACAATCCTTCATTTTCCCCCCCCGAGAGAAAAAAAAAGAACACCCCGTACCTGGAGGTATGTAGGCACTGCATTGAGGGCTGCGTCTCCCTGTTCATTCAGTGTCGCTACCACACCTGCCTGATACTGCCAGCTCTGCGGACGGAAAGACCAATGTGCTACCAATTACCACAAGAAATAGTGTGACATAAGTCCTTCACCTAAATGCATGCAGGATAAGGAATCCCTTATGGGTGGGAAGGAATAAGGACTTTTTTGTTTCTTTTTCCATTTCTTTAAATGAGAGAAATGTTGTCTTATAGGATTGGGGCAAGGGGAGAGGAATACACTGATGGAAGGATAAATGGCTGAGGACAGGTAAGTGATAAATAAAATAAAATGAAAATACAGAAACGAAGTGATGAAAGGAAATATTTCCATGAAAGTTAATTCTAGAGAACAAGAAAAATACAAAATTAACAGTAATTAATATTATGTATATTACATTTGAGTTAATTACACAGAAATATTTCTGAACATTATGTGCTTTCATAATAAATTCAAAATACAACATAAAAATATATACAATGATAACATAACACACAAATACTATATAAATATACATACATACATACATGCACTCACACACACACACGTGTGTGTGTGTGTGTGTGTGTGTGTGTGTGTGTGTGTGTGTGTGTGTGTGTGTGCGCGCGCGCGCGCGTGCGTGTGGGTGTGGGTGTGCGTGTGCGTGTGCATGTGTGTGTGCGTGTGAGTGTGCGTGTGAGTGTGCGTGTGAGTGTGCGTGTGAGTGTGCGTGTGAGTGCGCATGTGAGTGTGTGTGTGCGTGTGAGTGTGCATGCGCATGTGCATTTGTGTGTGCATGTGCGTGTGCGTGTGGGTGTAGGTGTGGGTGTGCGTGTGCATGTGCGTGTACATGTATGTACACAAATGTTTCTTACAACTAAAATCCTCAACTACATTTCCCAAATCTACAACTACAATACCACTAACTTACACTCCTTCCTAGACAAAAGGTGAATGATACAACTATTGTTCTTTACTCAGTATATTCACAGGGGAAGACACCCTATGTCGTAAGATGCTGCCATACAGACGCAAGCCACATCAAGCTTTGAAAACATCATGTTTAGGGGAAAACACTTAGAACAAAAATATTAGGAGAAAACACTTAAAGCAAAAATCTTTGGTAAGTCTCTTTAAATAACAAAGAAATTAGATATTAACAAAGAAACATGTTAGATGGGCAATTAACAAATAAATGAATGTGCACTGAAGATTAATACTTGTGTTGACTGTGAAACTTGGATGAAACAACCAGAGGTTTTTGGACACAATGTGTGCCTTTGTTGCAAATTGCACAGCATTGCAGAGCTGAATATGAAAATCTACTTCTTTTCCTATATCCCATAAAAATGCTTATAATTCTAAAACATCCCAATAGAATATTCGTAGTAATAAAATATCCCAAATGTACTTTAGAGTTATAAAAAGTTCTACCTTAAAAATATTTCTCTACAAAACTATTCCCTATAATAGCGTAATTACTCAAGAATTAACCTACTTGTAGGAAAAAAGGCTTTTGAATAATGCATCTTTGATGTCATCGTCAATCTGAGTCATAATCATTGATAGCTGTGTCATAATGACATTTCCAGAGAACAAAGCAGTTCCCATTGCACTTGGAATACATTCATATCATGAAAACATATATCAATCCTAATCATTATAACTTTATCCTCGGCACCATAGTCCTCACTTGGTTCTTCACTGATTAGGATCTTTCTGAAAATAACTTCTATACAAATATCATTTCCATTTAAAAATATATGAACATGCTTTGTCTTACAATTTACGAGCATTTAGAGGAAAATTTACAATAGAAAATATGGATTAACGCTTGATGAATTATAAATTAACACATGTATTACAAACATTCTAGTCCCATGCTTTGAAATCAATGTTTTTACCATTCACTTATCAAAAGATATTTCTATAATGAAATAAAAACATCTATTTTTCGTATAATCATTAACCTCCCATTATCATGCACAGCTTTTCAACATCTTTAAACCCACCCATCACATACTGTTCTAAAATGTATATAAGTATCTGTCAAATGATGTCCAATGATGTCATATTAATCTTCCATACATCGTAAATCTATAAAGGTTAGTACTAAAATATCAACAATGTTTTATTCAATCTGAGAGTTTTTATCTTATCATTTTATACATTTTGAGGTGGGCTGCACATGTGTGTATGGTTTACATGCACTACAGTATACTTAGGAAGAGACTCTCAGGTTGAATATGCAGTTGGTATTAACCACATACCATATGAACAATACACAAGGCAGTAAGGTAAATATTTTTGTATTAGCTTACAACATGCACATCTGGATATATATACCTTATCCATATAGACACATATGTATACAAATCTATACATACATACATACATGCATCTATACATATATTACATACAGAAACACGTATATACATACATGTATACCAACATACATATAAAGAGACATATCTAATCATGCATATTTATACACACACACACACACACACACACACACACACACACACACACACACACACACACACACACACACACACACACGCACACACACACACACACACACACACACACACTCACGCACGCATGCACGCACGCACGCACGCACGCTTACACGCACAGACACACGCACACGCACACGCACACGCACACACACGCACACACACACACACGCGCTCATATGTGTATATATATATTTGCATATGCATTACTTACTGCACATGTACTGTTCATATGGATAATAATAACAAAGCATATCCCAACTTATTCTGCTTTGAGGATACACACCACTACATGTACTGTACATCTACTTCACCACCGCCAACAACAATACTCCAGCACACAAGCATGTGCCCAGCCAATCCCTTTGGCTGAGTGTTATAATACCAAAGTTCAGCTGCTTCTATCCACCCCCTAAGGGAGAAGTGACACTCAGGAAATGATGTTAGTAGTGGGCATTGAGTGTAGGGGTTGTTATATACGTGTGACATGAGGCTAGCAACACTGCACCTTCTTGAGGACCAAGGGCGACTGCCGCACCACTTGCGACCAGTTGTTTGGGGTGAGGCGGCTTAGGGGAGAGGCGGCACACTTCACAAGGAAGTCCCGGGTGTAGGTGCGGCGAGCGGGAACAGCAGGAACGGGTTCCGGCGCGGCGGCGTCGGGAGCGGGACATGTGGCGGGACCGGGAGTGGAGGGCGTGTCATCCCCATCTGAGGAAGAGCCAGCGCAAGGTCACATGGGGATCCTCCCTCTGCCTCCCCATACCCTGACCCTTGCCCTTTCTCCATTCCCCTCCCCCTGAGGAAGAGCCTGCACACAGACATGTACCCTTTCCTTCATCCCCTCTTTTTGCCTTGTTCCTCTCCTTCTGCCCCTCTACTATGTGAGAAGCTTTCGACAGTGTAAGCTATGCTCTTTATTTTCTCTTCCCTCCCTCTTTCTGATGAATGGATAAGGAAAAGTAATTGTATGGCTTGGAAAAAGTGACTCCTCACTATGATGCCAACTTTTCTACATTCATGGAAAAATTAAAATGCTTTTGAGAGACATGACTTCTAACGGTATGTCATGTGTTCATTAAAGACTTTGTAAAAATTCATAATAACGTGACTTTCTCTACCTGTTGGTTTGAGGTACATAATTACGTACAGTAAATTCACTAATCAAAATCTAAAAAAAAAAAGGAAAAAAGAAAAAAAAAAAAACTCACGTTAAACTTAGATCCATCATATGGGCAGTAACTTAAAAGGCATTATATCAACCTTTTAGTCCCAGATTTCAAAAACAGTGCGAAAATACCATCTTCCCCAATCTATTAAATTCTCCTGTCTTGCCTTTCACTCATTTTCACTTTAATGAAACCACAGATATATATATAACAGGAGCCATGCAGATGATACTGCTTTAGCTAAACAACAAAATCTATATAAGGACAGGAAACTACGGCTCTTAATTCTCATCTCTAAGTTGCGGGACATTCTGTCTTGGGGTCCCTCTCTGTGTCCCTCCACTCCGGGTACATATTAGTAGCTACAGTTACGCCGTTACGCAAAATGGCACAATGTAAATTACCAGGGCGGCGGTGGTGTTAGTGACACGATTGGAACTGATAAATGGAGATTAACAAAGGTTAAATCTGGCAACAACTAAAGCTAAATGCTGCATTGTCTTACCAACTGCTAATGCGTAGGTCAGGTGTAGGGGTCGGGGGGGGGGGGGGGTGGCAGAAAAGGGTCAGGGTGGGGAGAGGGGTGAGGACAAACTATATACGGCCTTCTGTCACTAAAGTCAGTTTAGATTAAAGATAAACAACAAAATAATAATTTTCAATGCACAGAAACACACAGATTAAAGAATTCCAAAAATGTGTATTAAGGATGATTAATAGTAGATCTATCTTAGGTAGTTATTCCATTTAAATTCTAGTGAGAAGCAAAATAATAACTCCACACTTAATCATAACACCCTTTACATTACAGAAAAAAAAAACACATTTAAAGCAGACTTTAAAACTTTGGCATTAACCCTACTATATATTTATGACATAGCAGGCATTGCAACATACACTATACAATAAACAAATAATGTAATTATCAATTCAACTACACTTTAAATTAATCAAAGTTTTTACTCAAGTAAATAACACTGAAACATTGTAATCCTCCAAGATATTCATTAAAGACATCCAGTTCTTACTTATAAGCATGTTAACCACTTTATCAACAATAACCTACACATAAGCATCAATAATACTTAATAAAGTATTGTTAATGATAATCAATGAATGCAAATTATATGAAAATATCCTCTTCCATTTTTAGAATTTTGAAACAATTCCTCCTTTAGTAGTCTGTAGTACTGCTTCCCAGGTCCCTGAACTCCTACTTTCTTCTCTTTCTGCTACAGTATTTTATCTTTATGTCTATTTGTCAGCTTCTCTATCTGTCTTTTAGTTTAGCCATTCATCTACCTACTTGCCTGCCTGCTATTTGTATATCTGTATATCTGTATATCTGTATATCTGTATCTGTATCTGTATATCTGTATATCTGTATATCTGTATAACAGTATCTGTATATCTGTATAATAGTATCTGTATATCTGTATATCAGTATCTGTATATATGTATATATGTATATCTGTATATCTGTATCTGTATATCTGTATATCTGTATATCTGTATAACAGTATCTGTATATCTGTATAACAGTATCTGCATATATGTATATATGTATATCTGTATATCTGTATAACAGTATCTGTATATCTGTATATCTGTATAACAGTATCTGTATATCTGTATAACAGTATCTGTATATCTGTATATCTGTATAACAGTATCTGTATATCTGTATAACAGTATTTGTATATCTGTATATCTGTATATCTGTATATCTGTATCTGTATCTGTATATCTGTATATCTGTATATCTGTATAACAGTATCTGTATATCTGTATAATAGTATCTGTATATCTGTATATCAGTATCTGTGTATATGTACATATGTATAACAGTATCTGTATATCTGTATAACAGTATCTGTATATCTGTATATCTGTATAACAGTATCTGTATATCTGTATAACAGTATCTGTATATCTGTATATCTGTATAACAGTATCTGTATATCTGTATAACAGTATCTGTATATCTGTATATCTGTATATCTGTATAACAGTATCTGTATATCTGTATAACAGTATCTGTATATCTGTATAACAGTATCTGTATATCTGTATATCTGTATAACAGTATCTGTATATCTGTATAACAGTATCTGTATATCTGTATATCTGTATAACAGTATCTGTATATCTGTATAACAGTATCTGTATATCTGTATATCTGTATATCTGTATAACAGTATCTGTATATCTGTATAACAGTATCTGTATATCTGTATAATAGTATCTGTATATCTGTATATCAGTATCTGTGTATATGTACATATGTATATATGTATATATGTATATATGTATATATGTATATCTGTATAACAGTATCTGTATATCTGTATATCTGTATAACAGTATCTGTATATCTGTATAACAGTATCTGTATATCTGTATAACAGTATCTGTATATCTGTATAACAGTATCTGTATATCTGTATAACAGTATCTGTATATCTGTATAACAGTATCTGTATATCTGTATAACAGTATCTGTATATCTGTATATCTGTATAACAGTATCTATATATCTGTATATCTGTATATCTGTATATCTGTATATCTGTATAACAGTATCTGTATATCTGTATATCAGTATCTGCATATATGTATATATGTATAACAGTATCTGTATATCTGTATAACAGTATCTGTATATCTGTATAACAGTATCTATATATCTGTATATCTGTATATCTGTATATCTGTATATCTGTATAACAGTATCTGTATATCTGTATATCAGTATCTGCATATATGTATATATGTATAACAGTATCTGTATATCTGTATATCTGTATATCTGTATAACAGTATCTGTATATCTGTATAACAGTATCTGTATATCTGTATAACAGTATCTGTATATCTGTATATCTGTATAACAGTATCTGTATATCTGTATAACAGTATCTGTATATCTGTATAACAGTATCTGTATATCTGTATAACAGTATCTGTATATCTGTATATCTGTATATCTGTATAACAGTATCTGTATATCTGTATATCTGTATATCTGTATATCTGTATAACAGTATCTGTATATCTGTATAACAGTATCTGTATATCTGTATAACAGTATCTGTATATCTGTATATCTGTATATCTGTATAACAGTATCTGTATATCTGTATATCTGTATAACAGTATCTGTATATCTGTATAACAGTATCTGTATATCTGTATATCTGTATAACAGTATCTGTATATCTGTATAACAGTATCTGTATATCTGTATATCTGTATAACAGTATCTGTATATCTGTATAACAGTATCTGTATATCTGTATATCTGTATAACAGTATCTGTATATCTGTATAACAGTATCTGTATATCTGTATAACAGTATCTGTATATCTGTATAACAGTATCTGTATATCTGTATAACAGTATCTGTATATCTGTATAACAGTATCTGTATATCTGTATAACAGTATCTGTATATCTGTATAACAGTATCTGTATATCTGTATAACAGTATCTGTATATCTGTATATCTGTATATCTGTATAACAGTATCTGTATATCTGTATATCTGTATATCTGTATAACAGTATCTGTATATCTGTATAACAGTATCTGTATATCTGTATATCTGTATAACAGTATCTGTATATCTGTATATCTGTATAACAGTATCTGTATATCTGTATATCTGTATATCTGTATAACAGTATCTGTATATCTGTATATCTGTATATCTGTATATCTGTATCTGTATCTGTATATCTGTATATCTGTATATCTGTATAACAGTATCTGTATATCTGTATAATAGTATCTGTATATCTGTATATCAGTATCTGTATATCTGTATAACAGTATCTGTATATCTGTATAACAGTATCTGTATATCTGTATATCTGTATAACAGTATCTGTATATCTGTATAACAGTATCTGTATATCTGTATATCTGTATAACAGTATCTGTATATCTGTATATCTGTATATCTGTATATCTGTATATCTGTATAACAGTATCTGTATATCTGTATAACAGTATCTGTATATCTGTATAACAGTATCTGTATATCTGTATATCTGTATATCTGTATAACAGTATCTGTATATCTGTATAACAGTATCTGTATATCTGTATAACAGTATCTGTATATCTGTATAACAGTATCTGTATATCTGTATATCTGTATAACAGTATCTGTATATCTGTATAACAGTATCTGTATATCTGTATAACAGTATCTGTATATCTGTATATCTGTATATCTGTATAACAGTATCTGTATATCTGTATAACAGTATCTGTATATCTGTATAACAGTATCTGTATATCTGTATATCTGTATAACAGTATCTGTATATCTGTATATCTGTATATCTGTATATCTGTATAACAGTATCTGTATATCTGTATATCAGTATCTGCATATATGTATATATGTATATATGTATAACAGTATCAGTAATAATAATAATAATAATAATAATAATAATAATAATAATAATGATAATTATAATAATAATAATTATTATTATTATTATTATTATTATAATAATAATAATAATAATACCAACAACAACAATAATAACAATAGTAAGAAGGCACACATATACTGGCCCTCACAACTCACTTTGATGATGAGGGGAAGAGCGGCTGCCGCACCACAGTTACCACACCTTTGATGGCATCGGATGTTGGGTCAAGTTCCGTTGGGGTCTGTACGGGTGACGAAGGCTGGCGGCCCTGGTAGCCTGTCATGGCTGCTGTTGTCGGGGATTCCACAGCTGGGTCACTACAAGTGGTGGAGAGAAAAAATTTACAATGGTTAAAGACATTTTACGAAATTCTGAGCTGATGGGAAAGTATTTAGCATGAAATACATGCTAAATTATTATTATTATTATTATATATATTTTTTTATATATGGCTAAGGAATATCTTGACGTATATATTATGAGATATTTAGCTTTGATGGTAAAAAAAATGTATCTCTAATATGTCTTTAATGGCAAAATCAAGAGAAATATAATATGTTTTGATGATGACAATGACAAAAATGACGATGACAATGATGATGAATTGAATTTAATAACAATAATGAAGTTCATTTACCTTGGAGTGTCTGTTCCCAAAAGGACAGCAATGTTATTCAGATTCCTTTCTCCATTGAAGAATTCATCAAGCACCAGTTTTGCTGTCTGATGGGTGAAGAAATATAGCTCATAAATAAGAATAAATAACAAATGATTCATAAAACAAACAACAATAAAAAAGAAAACTGTCAGTTACCGTCTCCATCCTCCTACCCTCTCACTTATATAAATGTATCTCTAAGCTGAGCATGTAATTCCACTAACTATAATAAATACAATATATATATATATATATATATATATATATATATATATATATATATATATATATATATATATATATATATATATATATATATATATATATATATATATATATATATATATATATATATATATATATATATATATATATATATATATATATATATATATATATATATATATATATATATATATATATATATATATATATATATATATATATATATATATATATATATATATATATATATATATATATATATATATATATATATATATATATATATATATATATATATATATATATATATATATATATATATATATATATATATATATATATATATATATATATATATATATATATATATATATATATATATATATATATATATATATATATATATATATATATATATATATATATATATATATATATATATATATATATATATATATATATATATATATATATATATATATATATATATATATATATATATATATATATATATATATATATATATATATATATATATATATATATATATATATATATATATATATATATATATATATATATATATATATATATATATATATATATATATATATATATATATATATATATATATATATATATATATATATATATATATATATATATATATATATATATATATATATATATATATATATATATATATATATATATATATATATATATATATATATATATATATATATATATATATATATATATATATATATATATATATATATATATATATATATATATATATATATATATATATATATATATATATATATATATATATATATATATATATATATATATATATATATATATATATATATATATATATATATATATATATATATATATATATATATATATATATATATATATATATATATATATATATATATATATATATATATATATATATATATATATATATATATATATATATATATATATATATATATATATATATATATATATATATATATATATATATATATATATATATATATATATATATATATATATATATATATATATATATATATATATATATATATATATATATATATATATATATATATATATATATATATATATATATATATATATATATATATATATATATATATATATATATATATATATATATATATATATATATATATATATATATATATATATATATATATATATATATATATATATATATATATATATATATATATATATATATATATATATATATATATATATATATATATATATATATATATATATATATATATATATATATATATATATATATATATATATATATATATATATATATATATATATATATATATATATATATATATATATATATATATATATATATATATATATATATATATATATATATATATATATATATATATATATATATATATATATATATATATATATATATATATATATATATATATATATATATATATATATATATATATATATATATATATATATATATATATATATATATATATATATATATATATATATATATATATATATATATATATATATATATATATATATATATATATATATATATATATATATATATATATATATATATATATATATATATATATATATATATATATATATATATATATATATATATATATATATATATATATATATATATATATATATATATATATATATATATATATATATATATATATATATATATATATATATATATATATATATATATATATATATATATATATATATATATATATATATATATATATATATATATATATATATTGACTGGTTGATTAGATGAAACTACTCCAATCAAGATCTCAGCCAGTCAGCAACATTGATACTCAGATGTTTGAGAAATATCTTTATTTTGGACATTCACATTCCATAACCATCATAAAAGACTACTTTTTATTTATATAAATATTCAATTAAAACAACTCATAACACTGTACACCTCCACAACAAGAATTTTAGATACACCATATAACTATTACATAACATGTTACAAAAATGCCTCTCATATGAAAAGCTGTTATCAATGAAAAACTGTTACCAAGAAAATCATTGAAGGATTTTATTCTACCTCCCCTTCCTACTTTTCAGTTACAAGAAAAAACAATTAAGTTTACAAGAAAGAAAAGTAAATATACAATTAAGGACCCACAAAATATCCACAAAAAATATCAATCTTTAAAAATTCTCTCTGTTTTAAAATGACCACCAGACTAATGAAAGAGGCATTAATGTGTAGCATTTCATTTCATAAACTAAATAATATTTTATGAAATCATTACCAAACTTTTAAAATTGCACAAATAAGAAAAAATAATTACTTTTGAGGAAAAAAATAAGCAAAACTATATAAAAACTATTGATAAAAAAATCTATGATATACTGATTTCAATAAATTTTGCCTAAATATGAAATCTTAAATTTTACCATACAAACAAGGTAGGAAAAATCCAATTAGCAAATGGGGAAAACAAAATAAAAAATAAACAGCCCTAGGAATATAAATAATATCAGGTACATTAACATTCCACATATCATTTTCATATGACCTAAAAAGAATAAAAAAAAAAGAAAAAAAAAAATGCATATATTACTGACACGTCAACTGTCATTCTCCAAAGATTCTTAAAGACGAGCAAACATATATACAAGTCATAATGTAACAAGGCTAATAACACAATAATAACATTATAATGTCAGTGCATGCACTAGTAACTGATTACCTTCCTGATTATTTCTTATTTTTTTCAAGCAGCTTCCAAAAGCCATCTGTTAATAACATGAAAAACAACAACAACAACAACAACAACAATAGCAAAGGAGTAAGTGTATTTATCTCATATTGGGAAAGAACACTTTATATATACTTATTAAAATTCCCTCATTTCACAAGAAAAAAATATAAATATGATTCTATAAACCTGCTTTCATTACTGAATCCATGTATATTACACTAAACAGACAAATAAGATATATTTGTTAATTCCATATAGAGTCAAAAGTCCTAAATTTATAGACCTTATAAACAAAAACAGAAATCCAGTCTCCATTGATATCAGATTAAAATGAGAGCTATGTTGATGTACCATCTTGTTCCATAGGTTATAGGACATATATTAATCAAAATACACTATCAAAACTGCAAACTACAATAATTACTTGTTCTCTTACTCAAAGCTGGGGTTTGGTCTCACCAAATGTATGGTCTATGAATACATTACAAGCAAGTTAAAAGAATTTTTTTTTACACTTGGTGAAGAGAATGGAAGATTTTTTCTTTTCTTTTATACAAATTCACTAATCTATTCCTCCAAAAAGCTCACCTACTTAATTTGTTTATTTCACAAGAGTATGTAATGGTACCGGTAATGTCTTACATGTAGTACTGCAACATTCCTTCACAATACAGTTATGACAGCTTCTAATGAAGGTGTTTTTTAATTATTTTTTTAATTACATGTTCACACAGTTTCACTTACTGAATGCCATTTCATCAAGCGAGAGTTGTTTCCTCAGTACTGAACAAGATGGAATTTATGAAAAAAGAAATGGAGTAAATGCATCTAAAAAAAAAAAATCCTTTTATTTGTTTCAGCAATCAGTTAGTGATTTCATTCAGACTTCTAAAATTCATATGTACCTAACCTGACTTAACAGCAAGTATATTCTGCAACTGGCAGCAAATTTATATTTCAAAAACTCAGGCAACAATATGGATAAAAATCATGCTGTTATATACCAATATACCTTCACAATATCTCAATGATTAGTTTAGAGTTAGAGATACAACACTTTTTTTTCTTTTCTTTTTTCAAATTGAGGCATATATGCACTTGATAGATTAAAGATGAATGAGATAAGTTGAAAGGTTGGTACTGATAATTCTCTAAAATTTAGCATGTTCATTGATGATAATTAGATCATAAATGACAATTAAGTGATGATGATTAAATGAAATACAATAATTTTCCTTAGACATGCTCCATTTAACCAATCATCACACACCTATCAAGTACATAAACACCTAAGAAAATAAATAAAGAAATGAATAATAATAAATAAATAAAAACTTATGATAATAGTTCCAATGCTTATTCCCAGACTGTTTTATATTTTTCGAAGTGCCACACAAGAACATTAACACGTGAAAGAGTTAATCAGTCTGAAATGCAAATTCACAACTCTACAAAATCTCATTAACAAATACATTTCCCCAAATGAAAAAAAAATCAGAAGAATAAATGCCTTACCCTGTAGAGTTTCATCCGAGGTGTGAGATGAAATAGAAGACGATGACCCCCCCATGCTGCTGAAAATGGAGCCACGTTCGTCCCCGCGCACTGGAGATGCGTTGCGTCTAATTGTCTCCTCTATCAGGTGCTTGGCTTGACTAGAAAAAATATCCAAATATAAAGTACCTACATCTTTTAATACTTTCTGTCTCTATCTATACATCTACATCTATATCTTTCAGTGTATTATATGATCATAACTATGAAAATGCCTAAGTGATATCATACTTAATGTTTTCCTCGGCAGGTCCAGTGATCTGTACCAGACGTTCTCTAGCACCAGGGGCCACTGGAGAAACAAAGGAAAGTTGTAGTTCCATGTAATTGATAAATTGCTGTAAAATTTAGATAAGTTAAACTTACTTCCCATATCTACTTTAATATGTCCTGTCATCGCTCTAAGGCAATGTGTATAACCAGAAAAGAATATCTTAAATACATAAACTGTATGTGACAAATTGAAAAAACAAATGTGTTTTTGTGTGAGTGTAAGTTTGAGTCTGGTTGAGTTTTTGGCTGTGGGTGTGAGTGCAGGTATGAGTGTGGGTGTAGGTGTGAGTGCTTATATGGATATGGGCGTGAATGTAGTATGGGTATGGGTGAGGATGTGGGTGTGAGTGTTAGCATGATGTGAGTGTATGTGTGAGTGTGAGTGACAGTGTGAGTGTGAGTGTGAGTGTGAGTGTGAGTGTGAGTGTGAGTGTAAGTGTGAGTGTGTATGTGAGTGTGAGATGTGTTTGAGAATGAGTATATGTACCAGTATGTGTAAGTGTAATTGTGAATATGCATGTATAAACCAGTGAGTGTGACTTTTTGTGTTAGAATTCCTATACACATATATCATTATACACATGTTGCTTATCTAACATAAACACACAGAAAAACAATTAAAAATCCTACTCTTCATTCCACTAAGGGTTAGTCTTTACCCATGCATTAAACAACTTACAATCTTATAAGACCATTTTCTTCAGAGAACCCAACATCCCATATCTTTCTACATTTCATACAAAACTACATGTATTAATGTTACATATATTAATTCATAACACTTAAGGCTAGACTAGCTGTCATCACAAAATAATACAAGCAAATACCTATAATAATATTCATATTAGTAGGATGCATCATCCACACACAAATACAAGGACATTTCCAAAAATGAAATTTAAACAACAAAAAAAGAAAACAAGCTTATTTGGCAATATTATCTTCAATATAAGATTAAAGGTGGAATTCAAGGCATATACCTTTTAAAGGGTTGGATCATGCTGATACATACATACATACATAATACATATATATATATATATATATATATATATATATATATATATATATATATATATATATATATATATATATATATATATATATATATTTATATTTATATACATATATATATACATATATATATACATATATATATACATATATATATACATATATATATACATATATATATACATATATATATACATATATATATATACACACACACACACAGATATATATATATATATATATATATATATATATATATATATATATATATATATATATATATATATATATATATATATATATATATATATATGCATGCATGTATGTGAATATGCATATATAATCCACTGCATGGATGCTGGTATTAGTACAACAGCAAAATGGACATACATGGAACCTGAATTTCATCTAAAGGGACAAAATACAAGAACAGAAGGGAAGTCAGTACCTTTCATTCAGTATGTTAGGGTCAAGAGTCATAAGAAAAAAGCAGTATGTTTCAGATTAAGCAGAGAATGAGGTTATTGTTAAAGGTTTTTTTATCCGCAAGCAAAGGGTAGGAAAAATAAAGATACATACATATAACTATAAGTAAATACAAATGAGAAACATACTACTAATTCCAGGCATTATATAGAGAACTATGGATTAAAGAGAATTATCTTCAAGCAATGCAGTGTTAAGTCACGTCAGCAGAAAAGTTTATGTTTTCATCTATTTTCCTTTTTTTTCTTTTTTTTTACCTCTCTGGAATGAAATGATGGTCTCCGATAGCTCCTCGATCATGTGCACCCTTCTTCCTTTTATCCCCATAACTGTGCCATGAGACAGAGGGAGGAGGAGGTCAAAAACAGCTCACCAAAAAATGGAGAAGAAGAGAGGGGAAAGGAAGGGGTGTGAGGAGAGGCAAAGATGGTTAGATAAAGTATCAGATTTTTTTTTTAATCTTTTTTTTCTGAATGGGGAGGAAAGATGAAGAAGGTTAGGTAGAGTTGTCATTTAGGAGGAGGGGGGGGGATAAAGGTTTCAAGCAAATTGCTGGTGGAGAGAATTTGTGCCTTAATGAAAAAGACAGAATAACTGAATGTTGATTCTGAAGTAGTTGAGAGACAGTTTGATTTTTTGTCATTGGATTTGAATCAAAAGCCAATTTTTAAGTCACCATGAAGAGAAAAGAAGAGGAATTCATTGTCAGAATAAAAATGTCTTCCAAGTAATTTGTTAATAACTGAGACAGTCTCCATAAATATGAAATAAATATGTCAAAACAAAATTGAGTCCCTATTTATAAAATAATTGAACTCTTTAGTCATATATTGGAAAAAATTGTAGGCTGTCTCCATTTCTAAAATACATTATAAGTGAAATTCACACTTAAAATGTCAAGTACTATGTCTTATTGTACTAGGTCATGTCAATCTCAAAGGCTATATATGGAGCCTGCCTTCCATTATACTTGAAACAAAAATGAAATCAAAGAATAGTAAAAAAAAAATTATGATAAATAAACCAAAATAGAAGAATTCCCCCCAAAAAAACTTTCTTCCTTACCTTTCCCCGAATC